GTTTGAAAAGCTGAGAGAAACTTTTTGTAGCGAATATTCAATGGAGCGCACTTTCCCCAATGTTCCTTTTAGTATCACAGTTATTTGAAATCCATTTCATTTATCTATCATGTTCAAACTGATTTCGGCCATCTCAAAAACGGATGCCTTATTCGTTTAAAAAAATCCGCGAAACAGGTAAAATTAGATTTTTCGGGAGCCTATAAAAAGGGGTCCAATTGATCGAAAATATGTGCGTTTTTACAGTGAATTTTACGCTCGAAATTGAAATTTTGGTTGAAAATACCCGATATGATTTCAAAATTTGGAGTCGTTCACCGTAAAAATGCACATGATCCGATATATCGTTGTAGGACCCATTTTTTTTTGTGACCAACCAGACACTATTTATTGTTTTCAAAATCGTGTCAGGATCATTTTTTCGACAAGAAAGACGTGAATCGGATAAAGCTGATTCACGGCTGGCTTGAGCCATCGAGAAAAGGGTCCTGCCACGAAAAGAGACGAGACAGTGCCCTGGTTGGTGGAGGGTGCAGACAAGCCACGCCTTTTTGCGTCCCAAGCTAGCCGTGAATCGTCTCACAGTGTTCCCAAGCAGGCGGCAGATGTGGTCATTGGGCGTGGCTGTATGCAATGGGGGCGCGGCTGATTGCAATAGTGGCGCGACATTAGGAGCCGATTTTTTTGTGCATTTACTGGATGAAAAACATAGCGTTGAATAGTGTTTTTCAAGGCCTTCTTGAACTTATATAGTAGTTTTAATATATTTCAACGCACAATGAACCTATTGAAAATGGAATATGAACCGAATCGCTTTCGCCAAAAGATTTATCACACGAAATGCCTTTTTCCAGGACAATTCGTCGCGTGAAGCCCTAAAAAATTTTTTGAAGGAAAAAACCGATGACGGTTCCCTCACAAAACGCATTCTGGATATTCTGAAACGAAAAAAAGAATCAATTCGCTTCGGCACAAAAATTTATAACTCAAAAAGTCATTTTTAGACGACATATGTTTTTCTAAAACGTCGAAAAATTTGGAAAAAGCTCTGGGCGTTTATTTTAAAAATCTCATTCTGAGCATTTTAAAACAAAAAAACATAAACCAAGTAGCTTCTGCAAAAAGTTACTCTTCAAAAATGTCATTTTTAGTCGAAATTTCGAGACCTTCTCGAGCAATAATTACCTCAAGTACCTTTCAAACGCATCCAACACGGTTATATTACCCAACAGAAAGTAAAACGATTCAAAAATCTAAAAAAATACGCGAGAAAAAGAGAAAAAACTATATTTAAATTGAATTAAATTTTGAGAGGTTGACACGCGCCGCACCGCGTTGCGTTAGAACTCGGCAGACACCTCGGCCCGGTGCGACCCCAAAATTTGCTCTCTTTTTGCCATCTTTTGCACTTTGCAAGTAGTAGTGACAAACCGTAACATTTTCGAGTCTTTTTCGTGCGAAAAGAGAGGCTGCACGGTGCAAGACGAGGGAATGCGCAGTGCCGACCACGAAATTCAACTGTCACAGAAAAAAAAATTTATTATCAACAGGGCGACTTAACCTATTGCAATGGGGCGCAAATGAGATAGGGGATAAGCTATCAGGCTAGCTGCCGTTCCAATTAAAATTTTACAGATCTATCATGGTACAGATATTGGATTGGGAGTCACAAACGCAGGTGTTTCACAGGATCATTTCACATGTAGAGAGGGATATTTTAATTATGAGGGTGGTCATTGTACCGGGACGGCTGGGCAAAAAAGGCATCGCCAGGTGGAGAGAAGGCGTATGCGTCTACAACCTGCCCAAAGCAAGAGGGATGAAAATCGACGACAGCCGATGATGGTGGACGCGAAAGCCGCACCGGTTGAAGCTCTAAAAAATTAAAAAATGAATGAGATGATGGTTATAGAAACCGGTCAAGAAAGTGTGCTGTTGAGCCGGATATCCGGCGACAGAAACCTGAGGATGACCATGGTAGAGATGCCAAGGCGATGGTCCAACCGGCGACGGACTCCCGGTGGGATCTGAAGTTATGTTCAAAAGTGAATTCTTTTGCTTCAAAAATCAACTCTGCGAAGAGCTGGTTTTTGGAGAAAAGCCCAAAAGATTGGTACCGGAAAGCGACGCGGGCGTAGAAATCCTAGCAAGATGATCTTCTTGTGGCCCGTGAAGCGCTTGCCAAGGCGATGGTCCGACCGGCGACGGACTCCCGGTGGGATCTGAAGTTATGTTCAAAAGTTAATTCTTTTGCTTCAAAAATCAACTCTGCGAAGAGCTGGTTTTTGGAGAAAAGCCCAAAAGATTGGTACCGGAAAGCGACGCGGGCGTAGAAATCCTAGCAAGATGATCTTCTTGTGGCCCGTGAAGCTCGTGCCGAGACGATGGTCCGACCGGCGACGGACTCCCGGTGGGATCTGAAGTTATGTTCAAAAGTTAATTCTTTTTGCTTCAAAAATCAACTCTGCGAAGAGCTGGTTTTTTTGGAGAAAAAGCCCAAAAAGATTGGTACCGGAAAGCGACGCGGGCGTAGAAATCCTAGCAAGATGATCTTCTTGTGGCCCGTGAAGCGCTTGCCAAGGCGATGGTCCGACCGGCGACGGACTCCCGGTGGGATCTGAAGTTATGTTCAAAAGTTAATTCTTTTTGCTTCAAAAAAATCAACTCTGCGAAGAGCTGGTTTTTTTGGAGAAAAGCCCAAAAAGATTGGTACCGGAAAGCGACGCGGGCGTAGAAATCCTAGCAAGATGATCTTCTTGTGGCCCGTGAAGCTCGTGCCGAGACGATGGTCCGACCGGCGACGGACTCCCGGTGGGATCTGAAGTTATGTTCAAAAAGTTAATTCTTTTGCTTCAAAAATCAACTCTGCGAAGAGCTGGTTTTTGGAGAAAAGCCCAAAAGATTGGTACCGGAAAGCGACGCGGGCGTAGAAATCCTAGCAAGATGATCTTCTTGTGGCCCGTGAAGCTCGTGCCGAGACGATGGTCCGACCGGCGACGGACTCCCGGTGGGATCTGAAGTTATGTTCAAAAGTTAATTCTTTTGCTTCAAAAATCAACTCTGCGAAGAGCTGGTTTTTGGAGAAAAGCCCAAAAGATTGGTACCGGAAAGCGACGCGGGCGTAGAAATCCTAGCAAGATGATCTTCTTGTGGCCCGTGAAGCGCTTGCCAAGGCGATGGTCCGACCGGCGACGGACTCCCGGTGGGATCTGAAGTTATGTTCAAAAGTTAATTCTTTTGCTTCAAAAATCAACTCTGCGAAGAGCTGGTTTTTGGAGAAAAGCCCAAAAGATTGGTACCGGAAAGCGACGCGGGCGTAGAAATCCTAGCAAGATGATCTTCTTGTGGCCCGTGAAGCTCGTGCCGAGACGATGGTCCGAGCGATGGGTAATCAACATGTGGTGACTGACCGTGCAGGTCCAAACACTTGACTTTCCGAGGTGGCTCATCAGCGGACATTGCTGAGTCTAAATAAGTCAATAAACAATTGAAAAATTGGAGGAAAAAAAAGACGTAAAGCTGAAGCCGTTTAATAACAAATTTCTTCGATCAAATTCTATTCGGAAATGATTGAAAGTCGACAATAGGCTACCTTGTGAAGCAGAGTCTTCAGGTGGACTTGGCTGTGATCGCGTATCGGGACTGGAAATTGAAGACGTGGTGGCTTGAGGAACAGCGAGGTGCCCTGAAAAAAGTAGAAATGACAAGAAAAAAAAAATTGAATGTGAGGAGTAAGTTACCGAGGTATTTGTCCCGCAGAAGGTTGTATTCGTCCAGGTTAGCGGTCCTCATCCTTGGAACAGTCCTTCGAGCCATTTTTCTGAAAAAAAAAATTTTAATCGGACTTGTAAGAAGGCTTGAATGAAAAGATACACCAGCGAGTGAGTTTTAGATTTGGAGAAAAAATATTATTATTTAAACAGGTGGAAAAAAAAATACTCACATTCTATCTTTAATGTAATAGTTAACTGTTGAGCTCAATGTCACCGAGTCCATTTCGGGAATTTGTCGGCCTGCGCGGACCGATTCTGGGCACGAATAAATCATGGGACGTATGAGATCTGCGTTAAAGAAGATGAGTTTAATGCAAAAGGAGATGAAAAACCGACAATAAAATCTTTCGATTTTGAGGAGAGGTTCCGATACAGCGGCACGTCACTGGGATCCTCAAACATCTGAAAAAAAAAATTTGATTCGAAAAATGAAAGCAATGAAAAAACCAATGCCATAGAATGATGAACCATGAGACTTAAGCCCTCCTCCAGAGATAATGAAGTAAGACTCGGTGCATTCAACGCGGCAGCATTTATAACCATGTACTTGCTCACGTATCGCTGAGTTGAATCTTTGGGAGAGACGAGTACAAGGTCCTCTTGCGGATAAGACACCTAAATATTCAAATGAGAAGAGAAAGAATAACAGACGCACGGTGATACTATAGTCGGAGGCTTTCTCTTTTATGATAGCGCATTCGTGGTCGCAGGACATGATGGTTGGCACATGTTTGGCAGCACCAAACAAGTAAAGAGCGAGCGACAACAGAACGTTTGTTGGCTCTTTTCCTTTGGTGCCAACACGTAGTTGATAAGATAAGTTGAATAGGTCCACATCTGCCAGGATTTTTTCTAGTTGAGCCTAAATAATGAAAATGCGGAAATTACAAAAAAAAGAAGAAAATTGCTGGTTTTCTTTAACTGAGAGCACGGCGTTCCAAAAGGGAACCTCGCAGTAGAGAAAAATGAGGCAGAAAGTACCGCGCCTCAATTGCAGAAAACTGGGCGTGGTTTAGTTTTTGTATTGGGAATTCAAAACCCTATTTCTTGTTACATTTTTCGTTTCTGAGTGTTACTGCTGTGTTTATATTGTTCGTCAGCTGTGACTTCATATAAGTTGGTTGTGTCATGTCGCTCCTTGGCCGTTTACCGCTTTAGTTGAGGAAAAAAACGAAAAATGATAATTCGCGAGTTTTTTTAATTTACATGCCATGTATTCGACATCTTTCTGCTTGATTCATGTGCAGAATGAGTTTTTTTCTACTATCTAAAAATGTTCAAAAAAATCTTTGTCGGCAAAAAAATAATTTTTTTAAACTGAATTTCATGGAATCTTGTCAAATTTTTGGGTGTTCCGCGCGAAAGATTAAAACTTTGTGGTATGTCGGTCAATCTTTTTATTTTGATAGCTGAAAATGAGCCAGCGAATTTTTCGAACGGCGAGTTTTTCCGATTTTTCATATCGCTAGAAAAAAATTTCCGACGGCCACCTTTCCGCCGAATCCTTTTTCCGACTTTTTTTCCCTTATATTTTTCGGTTTTTTTTAATGAAGAGTTTATCGAGAAAATAAAGTCGGAAAACAATTCGGCAGAAAGGTGGCCGTCGGAAAGTTCCCTGGCGGTATAAAAAAATCGCGGTTCGACTGTGATACGAGTAAATGGAAAAACTTACGCAATGCTCTCGCGTTGTAAGCGGTGTTTGTAAATTTAAAGCAAACAACAATTCATCCATCAATTTGGGCGTCGGTTTAGGAACAGTTTTGCTGGGCATCTTTCTACTCGACGAAGGCGCGGCGTTGGCTTTCGGCGCTGCTTTAGGAGAGCCTGAACAAATGAAATAAAAAAGAGTACACGGAAGTTTCAGGAGAAACCTTTTGTTTTTGGTTCGAATGGGTTAGTCATGGCGAACGAAGAGATGCGCGTGACCTTCGGTTGCCTTAAAATTCCCATATAATAATAAAAACCACATACGCCAGAGGGGAAATCAAAGAGACATCGCAAAAAAGGAAGGAAATTAATGAAGCGGGAAAAAAGTTGAAAATCAAGAGAAACCGTGTTGCGACCACACTCGCGATGCGGTTCAGGCGCGCGCGCGGGAATTCAAAATTTTGGTTTCGCATTAAGCGATAGAACACAGCATTAACTTTTTGTTCTTTTTTGTTTTTTTATTATTATTTTTTTGTGATTTCTACAGTCCAAACAATATCGAAGCATGCCCAAAGAAGTGTAGTATGAGCTAGTATTGTTTGCACATGAATACACAAGTCCAAACGACCTCAAAAAGGCCATAAAAAGAAGAGCCTAAAGCATCTTTTTGAGTTCCTAAAAAGGTGTTGAAAACTTCTCGAAATCTTATTTTTTTCCCACTTTTTTTCCGCCTTCTTTTTTTTAGGACTCTTTGAAGGGTCTTTTTCAGGAAAAATCAAGAAAAAAAGGCGCCTTTTCCAGAACTCCTTTTTGAGACATTTTGGACTTTGCCCGTGTACATGCCTCCCCTGGCTGGCGCGACTTTGCGGCGAGGATTTCGCAGGCTTGCGCCGTGAATTACGCGAGTATGTGCACATGTTAGCCGCAAGCCGCTTTTTCACTTTATACGATTTTTTTGTTAAAATTAAAAACATATTTTTTTGTTGAACAATCACATGATTATCAGGGTCCCTTTAATTTTTTTATGAACAGATATTATATCTGGTACACTGCGTCCAATAAGGATAGGACCACCCTCGATCATGGACTTTTCGGCGAATCCAGAAAATATATCAAAAATCTGTTAAAGCCATCCGATTGAGCGTAAAGAATTACCTATGGAACCCAAGTTTCATCATAATAGCCATTTTATTAATATTATTCCATCACAAAAATCGTCTTTTTGACTCTGATAAACTTTTTTTCGAAATCTCTTCAAGTTTTTCTGTATATATCCTTATTATAGACGTAGTGTACATCTTTGGATTGTACCAAGAACATAAGAGAAATAATGAAATGTTATTCGAAAACTACAAACCTCAACATTGCAAACTTCCATATATCATGTTCACCACTCCATGAGAATCTTATTTGTTGAACTCTCTCTTCATTAGATCTGAAAAAAATTCAGTATTACAGCTAGTACAAAGAATATCGAACTCACTTTTTTTGTAATTTCTGGAGTTAATTTTTTTAAGAAAAAAATAATCAAAAAAACGTCTTCGCTAGGAAGAAAAAAACAAAATAATTACCTTTCTCAAAGTATAATAGGATAAACCAATACGTCGAATCTCTCGAAAAAGATACGTTTCGACGCGTCGCATACAAATATGAAGTCAACTAAAAACGATGATGATAAAATTTCATTTATAAAAAACCAGAAAAATATATATAAAAAAAGAAAACATAATTTAGGAAAATAGAAAACATAGACGAAACAGTTTCGGAATTACTGTAAATGAGTTTGTGAGCTCTAAAGCAGCCCTCCCGTAGCGCAAGCTTGCGCCCTGTCTTGCGCAAGGTTCGCGCAAACTTTAGCGCTGGGTTTTTTTCTTGGCGCAAGCCTGCGGAACTTAAATCTCTCGCCGCAAAGTCGCGCCAGACGGGGAGGCAGTCCTTGCCGTGTTCAAAGTTTTTCCGCGCATATTTGTGCAGGTTTTCACGTTTTTTTCTCTCTCCTTTACAAGAATGATGCGATACAAAGTGGTTTTGAGGATTGAAGCAGCTGGAGATTTCTCGTAACCGACCAACGTGACGAAATGGACGGGATCAACTTCTAAAAGAGTGCGTTTTTTTACTTTTTCATTTCCCCTTTTTTTCCATTATTCATTTATACATTCGTGGACTGAAGGATCTCATTGAAACCATTTTGAGTTTGTGGTGGGCGAACGTCCATTTGGCTAGGCGTAGGCGTTTCCTGTATTCCATCTGTCGGCTCACCATAACTTTCTTTTTCGTGTTTTTTTTTAAATGAGAATCCGGCAATCCAGAAGCGGAATTCTCGAATGAAGATTTCTAAAATAGTTAAGCAAAAACAGACATCAGCAAACTAGAAATTAGAAAGTCTACTTAGAGAGCGTCAGATACAACTTTTTATTCGGTAATGTAGGAACATGAATATTTTTAAAGCAATAGACAGTAAATTAGGTGTTGAGAAAGGAAAGGAAACGAGTGAGATCTGTTACGCAAATTTGCTGTTTTTGGTCAGTTTTCGAAAATCTGCTTACTGCCAGCATCTTTTTATTGGGGATGCTAAGGCAATACTTTTTGAGCATAAGAGGAATCACAGTCGCCGTAGCGATAACGTCCTCCAAAAGAATGACTACGAGGCGTGTTTGTGTCGATTTTAACACTCCACAGAAAGTCCGATCACCGAGGAAATATCTATCCAACACAGACTTCAAAATGTACGTGTTTCGGTCGCTGTTGGTGTTCAGATATGAGTACAGCTTGTCGTGACCACTTTCCCAATCGAACTCGCTGATCGAGGCATTATTTTTCCCGTTCATCAGATTTAGGGCGATCGTCTCGATACGGCCAAACGTTACAGTTCCGTTAGAGTAGAATGACACGACGTCTTGTTGCGTTGTCTCTGGCTCTCCCCAATATAAGTGACTGGCAAAGGGTCATGCCGCGTGTGTAAACTCTCGGACTGAATTTACAAAAGATTATAAATTTCGTCTTTCAAATTACTATATGACTATGCTGCGTTCGCTTCCGATTTCTTGCAGCAAAGCATGGTAGGACGGATAGGCATAGGCGTTTGGTAGCGGGTGTCGTGCTGGTTTTCCAGCTAGGTGTGGATCAGCATTGGTGATAGGCTTTGCTCCACGTTTCCTATAACAATTTTCTCTTTTTGCCATTCATTTCACTCCATTTCTTTTATTAACTCTATTATCTCATATAGCCAGTTCACGGCTGGCTTGGGACAGCGAACGGGCGGTTTAACTTGCGCGGCGATGGTAGATCATGGCAGCCATGTGTGCGCCTTTATCCTCACTTGATGAATTATTTCTGTTTCTATTGAATTTACTTTTTCGTTTACTATAATTTCAATAGTTTAGAGGTTTTCTTTTTGATCAACGAAATACAAATTAAAAAAATAAATGAATCATTAATCCAGCCTTTTGTGGAAGGCGCATTGATAGTCGCCATGATCTACCTCCGCCGCGAAAAAAATAAACCGCCCGTTCGCTGTCCCTAGAGAACCGTTAAATGCTCTTTCAACATATTTCCCACCGATTTCTTTGCCGGCGTTCGTATAAACGTCGAAGCCCGCGTATCGCTGTATCGACGCTCCGGCTTTCCATTTCTGATAGAGAGTGCCGAGATAGTAACAGTCTAAATTATGTTGTTGGATGGGTTCCTTTGGTCTTTTTTTAACCTTTCCAGTGCTGACAAAATCGAAGTTTCTCGTGTTGTGAGGGTTCAGTTGAATTTTTATAATCCATATATGAATGTTCGAATCCGCTGCTGTCAAGATCGATAACGTTGCCGCACTGGCGAAGCTGGGTCGGTAAATGAGCAAAGAAAGCCTAAAAATTGCTTAGGTCAGTAGGATTTCTTTTCCACATACATGCGTTTTTTTATTGTCGTGGTTTCGGGCTGAACACTGCTTCCCACATCGATCCAAGAGATTCAATCGCACTAGGCCATTTCACACAATTCCTTTTTGCCGAGTCCCTCACTATAAAGTGCTCGCAATATGCAGCTAATGGCCAACGTGTAGGAAGCCGTTATGTCATCATCAATGTACTTCTCGAGGCATATGATCGGTAGAACCAAATGCGAAGCCTACAGTACGAGAACTGAAAATTTTTTTCCCAATCTTTCAGACCATCAACAGCTCTTTTGCTGACATCACAGCTGTGTTGGTCAAAGATATTAGTCGAGCGCTTATATACGTCGGTAGCTTCGTTTTCCCACTACAAGCTCGAAATTAGCGTGATCTTAATTGATATCAACTACAGTTCGACACTTTTTAAATATAAATTAACTCTAATTGCAATAAGAATGGAATCAGTTTTTAATACATAAACGACTACCCAATTTTCTCGACTTCCTCCAAAATTTTCGTGTTCACTCGGAGCCGAGGTCTGAATTTGTTGGTCTGCTCGATATCTGAGTATGATACGAGAAGAATTATTCCACTTTTCCTCTCACTCCACCTTTGTATATACTTTTCAAAAACCCCTCTGCTATCACATGAAGGGAATCAACAACAGCACGAGCAGGACTAACAAGTCTTTGGAACAGAGCCTTCTCTGCATTTTTGAGATCGCTTTTTGCATTAATTTTTTTTTTTACCTTTGTACTCATTGCTACTGTTCTCACTGCTCATCTTGTGATAGTCGTCCGATTTTTCCGTTCCTCTTTCACATGAGTACCTTGGCGCTCCATTCAGCCGTATTCCTTGTATATCGCACCAGTTGCACACACCCGACTCATAGAGCCTTATCCGGTAAGCTGATCTCAAAGCCTAGAAAGATACTTCTCTATTCAATTTGTTTCCTAAACTACCTCAAAGTCGAGAACAGCAAGAGCTATTTTGAAGTGTACTTCATACTGGGCTTCTCCGTTGACGGCAAACACTGGGAACTGTCTAATTTCGTCCAGAACGTGGCCACTCAGTTCATTCCATTCTGAAAATCTTGCGTTTTTTTGAAATCTGTTTCGTCCTACCCGGTAAACTCGGTTTATGCTGTCCACGATACAACCCTGCTGTCAATAGGTTTCTCGTTAAAAACCTTTTTGAGGCTGGAAGGTCTAGAAGAGCCATAGTGATTGGCCAAACTTGTGACCTCTTCACTCCCTTGCTTTCGTAAGAAAACCCGTCAGTAGTTAGAATAGCACTAAGCCTCACAACTTTTTTTCCAAACTCGTCTTTCGTTTCGCAAAATTCCTAAAGGAAATTTTTTTTTTTTTTTTGGTCTCAACATCATTCTCACTGCGAAAGATTTCGATGCTTCATAGCTTCCATCCCCGTCGACAACGCCTTGATGATGATTGTCGTGTACTTTCAATATTGTCGTTAATTCGTCTTTTAAAACTCCCTCCAATTGAGGAATCAGATTGGCTAGCAACACTTTTCCTCTTTCTGAAGACGTGCTCGCTTTTGGTATTTCTCTGAACACAAATGAATTCTTTCTCTTTTCAACTTACTCTCCACAATCAAAATTCACGCATCTCGATCTTTCGCTCATCACGTTTAAGCCGCATCGACAAAAAGTTTTTTTCTTTCAATTCAAACCTTAATCGACTAGGTCACTCTTTTTCCAAAACCTGTTACTTTCTCAAGAAGTCTACCTTGTACTTCTCGTAATTCATTCTGAAAATTACGGGTACCTCCGCAATCACCGCGGCGTCCTCAAACATATCGTCCACTTGTGTGCTTGTCATGAAGTTCGAAACTTCTCTTTGCAGTAAATAGACGTATCGATCACTCAAATTTCCTACAGCTGTTCTTTTTATTTACTCATTCATTTCGTTTCTCACTCCTCGATTCTGCTCTCTCTGCTACTAATATTTCTCGTCGTTCTTGACCAGCGTTTTCGTCAAGGTCTACGACTTCCTCTCCTTCGGAGTACTCTTCTTGGCTATCTGGTAGCTCTCGTTCTTGTTCTGCATCGCTTTCCGCCTCTTCGTTTCCCATCATTACGTCTTGCGAATTGACGTCGATTCCCTCTTAAAGAAATTTTACACATTTTAAATACACCTATCCACATAATTATAGTCACTTGAAAAATTTCAAAAATTTTGAAGTTTTTCCAATTTTTTTCCCAACACTGTCGGCTTGAATGAATAACTTTCAGTCAAAAACAAGGTCCATTTTGAAGTCAAAGCTTATTTCGGCTCCTATACGCAAAAAATCGACTTATCGTAGCTATTTTTCTTAAAACAGGTACATTGAACCAATAAAATACAAAATAGTCGATAAATTTTTTTAAAATATTAAAAATCTTCAGGTGGCTCCGCAATTATGGAGAAAACCGCAATTTTACAAAAAAACGACTTTTTGGTAGCCCCTTTTTAAAAATGTCAAGTGGCTCTATAACTATGTGGAGGGTGTAGAGCCCATCCATGGGCGAAGTCAATAGATCTTAAAAAGGAATTTTTGGTAAAAACTTTTTAAGTAGGGACCGCAGACGAGATTTTTCAAATAAAATTTTTTTCAGCATTCAGCTTTGTATGGTTTTGATAGCTGTTTCGATTAAAAACTCAGAACCGTTTAGTTTTTCGGAAAAGATTGAGGATGAAAAAAGTTATGACGAAAAATGTGGCGCTTTTTAGTACTGAAATTTTGGTCTTATCCATTTTTGACATTTTTCTCGATTTTTCTTCCAGAACAAGTTTTGATACTGGTCTATTATGATGTAACAAATCATAATAGAGTGCTAAAAAGATGCTAATCAGTTAGTTTGCCGAAAAAGTAGGTATTTTTCAGAAAACAAAAAACTGGCGCTTTCACTCGCGACCTCAAAATGAAAAATCGCAGCGCACGCACTGCGCCAAGCTGTCAGGTCTAGCGCGGGGAGCTTCCATCCGCCTTAGCCCTGAGGCCGTTTAAATAGCACAGATTGTCTATTTCAAAAAGAAAAAAACTTGAAGTAATTAAGATATTTTTTTATCAGAATATGTTCGCAAATCTCTACTCAAAGCTTTTTGTGGAAATTCACTTCGAAAAAAACTGTTTTTTCAGTGCTTTTTGCCTCGTTTAACGATCGCTGCATCAAAAACGGCCCCGTAAATTTTTGGCAAAGACAGATTTTTTTATTTTATTCTTTTTAACTGAAAGATTTTTTTACTAATAAATGTATATAATCGTTTGAAAAAAACCTGCGTTCGACCGCTTTCTGTGTGATAAACGCCGCTAATTTTTATTCTCTATTTTTCAAGAGCATTTTTTTGCGTATCAAACAACTTTTTCAAGCACATATGCTGTGGAGAAAAATTTAAGTAAGCTCATGGTCTAAATTTTGAAAAAACAAAAACTCGATTATATTCGCTTATTAACGACATTTTGAATTATGACTTTGGGCACTCCCTAAAATTTTTGGCAAAGACGAATTTTTTATTTTATTGTTTCAAAATTACCGTTACTTGAATCAAAATCATTATATAAAAAAAGAAAGAGTGCGTTCGACCTGAAAACACATGAAAAAAAGCAAAAAAACGACAAAAATTTTTTTAGTCCCATTCACGTTTTTTTGTACGACATTCCGCGCGAACGCATCAAAAAAGCGTGAAATATTTTTTAAACGAAAGAGGAAGCTTTTTTGTACATGTGTGCCAAAATTTATTATCCAGTTCCACATATTTTGCAACTACAGCAAAATGAAAGTTGAAAACCAAAAAAAAGCCACTTTTTCTATCGCGAAAAGGGGCGTGGCTTTGCGGTCCCTACTTTTAAGGCGCCTTTTTTCCTAGACTTTTTTTTTTCCATAGAGGACCTTTTCAGGAGCTCAAAAAAGGTCGGAAAATAGATGAAAAAAAGGAGATCTGGCCTTTTTGAGGTCGTTTGGACTTTGCCTGTCACGTTTCATATCAATCTTTCACCTTCCTCTATCATCTCATTTTGTACCACTATCTCATCTTCTGGTGTCCCATCGCTCGCCATCTCTTCTTCGCTTACTCCGTTTTGTTTTTAGTCCGTTATTTTTGAAATCTCACTGCTGAACGAGGCATGTAGCTCATGCCGTGTTTTTCCTTGCCGACCTAAAAACTTTCTCCCTCATCACATCTGTTCAGCCCGTCCGGTTTGGAACACTGTATGTTAAAATTTTGCATACACCAATTGCGGTTTTTGGGCGATATCATCGTTAATAACTTCTCATTCATTTTCATTTTCGTAGATAATAAACAATCAAGTTACCCCGAAGAAGTTATATCGCCGTTTTTTTTTTAAATTATTCTCGTTTAGGCACTGCCCCAGCACTTCTCAACTTATAATATTACAATTAATAATCTAAAACGATTCAAAAACATTTTTTTCACATTGTTCGATAGAGGAGACTGTCAATTTTCATAATCCGTTTAGTTTCCGAAAAGAGGTGCACTAAGAAAAAATTAATGGCCAAAATACTAGCGCGCACGGCGCTCAGCTGAAGAGCGAAATCTCACGATTTACCCGCTGCCGCTGCAACATCTTCTAATTGCGCGATTTTTTTGTTCGAATATTACATATGAATTATCGCATTTGACAACAGAGACAGGATTATCTAGAGGGACTTTGAAGTTTACCGTGCATTACGTAAAAAACTTATCCTCTTTTTTCAGACTCACCATCTGGCTGCGGCATCTCGTTCTTGCCGACGCATGTCTCCCGCCTGTTCCCAGCACCTCTGCATTATTTCACGATTTTTCAAATTTATAATCTTTCATTTCATAACAGGATAATACGCGTATTAAATAAAACCGTTTAAAACCATTCGTACAATAAACATAAACACATGTTCACATACAAATACAAATAAAAATAAACGAATGTTCTCAAAAACAGTTCTTCTTAATAATGGGTTGTCCACGTGGCTCGGAACATTGCAGCTTCGCTCGCTTTTCCCCCTGAAATCACACTTAATTGACCCACTTTCGAGGTCTTTGCGCTATAAATTTACATTGTGCTCGGTTTTACCTCTAAATGTGCGAAAAAAAAACCCCGAAACTTTCAGAGCCGCTTCCCAGATAGGGTCTGCCCGGAGCATAATTCCTGCCGAGAAGGAACTCGCGTTTTTGCCCCATTGAGACGACCATTGTTTTCGCCTGCGCTCGCCCGTTTTGAAACACTGTGCGTCTATATAGTCTATTCCGCGTCAGCTTGTCAAGTTTTTCTTCCCACCAAAAAGACCGTATACCAAATTAGATCAAATTTCTGCTTTTATAACGGCGGCGAGAAACAAAGGTCTTGAAGCGAAAGTTGGTTAAATTTGACCTGGCCTTTTGGCGGAAAAAAAAAACGTGACAAGCTAGCGCGGAATGGCCTATACATAATCGGAAGTTCAAAAAATGAAAAGAACGTAGTTTGATCGACGCTGGGAATGTTTACGACGATCACGCGCGCTTGCTCATTCTATGCCAAAATGTCTCTGCGTCTCTCTCTCTCGTTTCGCCAACAGTTTTTTTGACCTTCAGCTGCGGATTTGAATCTGGACTCGCCTTTTTTTATCAATTTTTCGTCTTTTTCGGGCCGTTTTCTCCATTTTAACTGTTCCCTTATAATATTTTTTTAAAAATTCCCTGCTCTTTCTCAAAAAAATATAAAACTAAAGTCGAGTTTCCAGAAAAGTCTCAATATTTTTTTCGTTGTTTGAAAAACCCTTATTAAAGGCGCATGGACTGGTCGAAATAAAGCTTTTTGAGAAGAAGAGACATTTTTTTGCAGTATTTAAGCAGTAAAAAGCTTTTTCTTTTTGAAACTCCGAAATATCTAAAAACATTATTTTCAAAGATCGAGCCCGTTTTCCTAATTTCAATGCTTTTTTTGGAACTATCTCTTCAAATTATTATTTTCCAAGTCTAGTTTCATTACTTAGCTTTTTATGAAAAAAATTGTTGAATATAAAAAAATTTTTTTACTGAAATTTTGATTTCAAAAATTCACCGTTTTTGTTTTTTTGAAACTTTTTTTACATTCATGTTTTCCGTCTTAAGTTAATTATTCCGATATCTCATTGCTTTTTTTTCAAGTTCTGAATTTTTTTTTCTGATCTCGATCTAAAAAATAGGTGTCTAATGTCAGTTTCCGACGTGTTTTTTTTTCGAAAGTGTTTGACCGAAAAACAGAAAAACGAAATGTCCAGCGGAGGAAGAAAAAGTTTGCGAAATCGTTACACTCTGCTGATTAATGGGCGTCTTTCCCACATTGCTCATTCTAACGATTCTTCTTTTGGAAAGCGATTTATCAATCGAGTTTTGTATTAAATTGTCATTTTAACCTGAGAAGCTTTTTCGCGATCGAACTTGGCAAATTATACGTGAATAGAAATTTTTTTGTGACAGAAAAAAATGAAAAATTGAAAAGACGAAGAAAAAGCGAAAAACCGGACGTTTCTGAGCAATTCTAGGGTCCACTTAAGAGGGCTCACGCTACTAAAGTGGCTACTTAAAAATGCCCCGGAACGTCCGAATCGTGTCTGTTACGCGATACCATTGCCCGAGCCAGAAAAAAA